GTTGATGACCACCAAGTTGAAACTTCGTGGACTAAACCTACTTTCTGTGCCAAGACAGCACAGCTCGCAATGGCGTTGTCGAGGGAGGTTTTGAGTTGGCTGCTATGTTTGATTTTTTTGTGAAATCCACGTATTCTGGTAAGTATGCTTCCAATCTCGGCAGTGGAAGTAGGTTCAACAAATAAGGGAACTGATGATTGAAGTTGAGGTATAGCAGGATCAAGGGCGTTCATCGGTTCAGATTTGTCCTTTCGATCGAAAACTGCAAGTCCCGCCTTGGCCACGAGGTTGATGACATGGGCAATACATCCGTGGATACTTTGAGAGGCATCGAACTGGGGAATCATGGTTCCAAGGGCTAAGCCCATGGTGGTGTTGTTGGATGTGTTGTCGGCAGTGATGCAGTACAGACGCTTGGAGAGGTTGAAAGAATCAAGGATATGCTTGAGGAGTGAAGCCAAGTTGGCACCGGTATGAGGTCCATCAATCACCTTCAAAGCCAGAGTGATACCGCGTAGCTGAAAGTCGTCAGAAATCCAGTGCGCGGTCACACCAAGCATTGCGAGGTTGGTTGGGGAGGTCCACCCATCACATGTAATACTGACATGTTTGATAGAAGAGAGGAGGTTGACAATGGCTGATCGTTTGGCTTGGAAGGTGTCCAGGATTCCATCCAAGATGGCAGTCCGTTTAGATAAGATGGCAAAAGCGGCGGGGTTGATCATGTTGATGATCTCTCGAAATTCCCTACCGTTGACAAACGAGACTGGAACCTCTCGATTGACAACCAAGCGGATCAATGCATCCTTGAGGTTGGCTCGGTTGAGAGGACGGACCTAATATGATATAGACAAAGCAAGAGATAGAGAAAGGAATGAAGAGAGAAAAAAAAGGTAAGAAAAGATTGATAGATATGAAGATATATGAGATTACTTACTTGAACTGCCTCTCCATCAATATAGAAGGCCGCGATAGAAGGTTGATTAGTTTGAACAGGGGGTTCAATGTGATGTGCACGAGAGAGATGTCGTATCATCGATTTCGTGCTGCCGTTCTT